ACACGACCCTGAGGTGCTCAAACGTGTGGGGTGGGCTTGTGTGCCTCTCCAAGCAGTAGCTGAGCCTAGTGGGGACCAGTTTTTCACTATTCCATCTGGGCACATGACCTCTGTTCCAACAGGAATGTAGCCCATCTATAAAACTCAGTTTTCTCAGAAATAGAAATGTGTACTAGTGGACCCTGGCATTAGTGGCCACTGCACAAGGCTACCTCTGCCCTCAGAGAAGAAGCAGCCATAGCCACAGGTCAGTCTGACCAGGCTTGTTTCTCACCTGAGAACCTGCTGTGGCAGCTCCTACCTTGTTAGGCTGGTCACCCTGAAACAGCATGTTCCTGGGACAGGGGCTATGCCCACTATGCTGGGGGAGGCGGAGTGTGTGGTGGGGGCTCACAGAAGCAGTGGGATTGATGTTGCCTGGTCATTGAGAAAACAGCAGTCACTCGGGGTGATGTGTGGACGTGACCGTGGCCATGTATGAGATGTCATCAAGTGCACTGAGATCCACCAGTCAGGCCAACCAGGCCGACCCAGCTGATTGTGTGCAAGGGGAAAATCCATGATTGCTTCTTTGCCAAAGACAAGTGGGAGGATTCTGCTCAAAGGTCTTCCCTTGTCTGAGTGTGTGTCTCTATACATACGTTGCTGGGGGTTGCACACACTGGAAACAGGATCAGGGGCTGAGGACACAGCAGTGCTCAATGCCCTGACAGACACACAAACCATGGGTGATACACAAACCAACCACGGCAATGACCAGAGGCTTGTCCCCTGATGGACAGGGCAGAGGAGGGAAGGACTGCTCAGGGACCTCAGAGCAGCTCTTCTTTGATCTTGTAAATCCTGGTTTCTAGGTGACGTTGTGGTTGGAAAAATTAAGTCTGTTTCCTTGAGATGAAACCTTGAGGGACTAGCAGATGGCGTAATGGTTACGTCGCTAGGCTCCCATGTAGTCAACTGCGGTTCGAGTCCTGGACCCGGTGGCTTAAAACTCACGCCAGGTGTGTTTGTGTGTATGTGTGTGTGTGTGTGTGACCAAAATCCCAAGAGGAGACTGGAGGAGAAGGGACTGTGGCCTGGCCATCCTTCCTGGGGTGTGATTTCTTTCAGTTTCTCTGTCTCTATGGCAAGCATACATGCCCTATAGCAAAAGTCTCTCTCTAAAAAAAAAAAAAGAAAAGAAAAAGAAATGAAGCCTTGAAAGGTTTTCCATAATTGAGTCTTGTATTTGTTTTAGTTTCCTGGGGCTGCTGTGGCTGAAAACTACAGACATTTATCCTCTCATATCTCTGGAAATTGAACTCTGACTTCAAGGTGTGTTGGCAGGGCAAGGTTTCCTCCAGAAGTTCTGTGGACAGTGCCTCTTCACTTCTTTCAGCTTCAGGTGGCTTCAGACATCCTTGGCTTGTAGACACATTACTCTAGTCTCTGCCTTCATCCTCATGAGGCCATCTCCCTTTGTCGTCTCACGGCCATCTTACAAAGACACCAGACAATGGATTTCAGGCCCACCCTACTGGAATATAACTTATCTTAACTTGATTACATCTACAAAGATCCTAATTTCCAAATACGTTCACATTAGTGGGTTCTAAGTGAACATGAATTTTGGAGGAATACTTTTTAACTAAGTACAGGGCTATAAACTCCCAACAAAATTAAATAGATATGTTCATTGTCTTGGCAAGGTCAGGCTGGCCACAGAGGGGCGGCTGTGATTATGTGACCCTCCCTGCCTTGCCAGGCTTGGAGTGAGCCAGTAGAAACACGGGTTCTGTCTAATGCAATGGTTTTTTATAATTGTCAGGAGGCATGTACACTCACTAGGAAGAAATAGAGAAAACACCTCCCAATGGGATATGATCATGTCACAATCCTTTCTCCATTTCTCCATTCCATCAGTCATGGGGGCATGCAGGGCTTAGCCCCTGATGGACAGGGCAGAGGAGGGAAGGACTGCTCAGGGACCTCAGAGCAGCTCTTCTTTGATCTTGTAAATCCTGGTTTCTAGGTGACGTTGTGGTTGGAAAAATTAAGTCTGTTTCCTTGAGATGAAACCTTGAGGGACTAGCAGATGGCGTAATGGTTACGTCGCTAGGCTCCCATGTAGTCAACTGCGGTTCGAGTCCTGGACCCGGTGGCTTAAAACTCACGCCAGGTGTGTTTGTGTGTATGTGTGTGTGTGTGTGTGACCAAAATCCCAAGAGGAGACTGGAGGAGAAGGGACTGTGGCCTGGCCATCCTTCCTGGGGTGTGATTTCTTTCAGTTTCTCTGTCTCTATGGCAAGCATACATGCCCTATAGCAAAAGTCTCTCTCTAAAAAAAAAAAAAGAAAAGAAAAAGAAATGAAGCCTTGAAAGGTTTTCCATAATTGAGTCTTGTATTTGTTTTAGTTTCCTGGGGCTGCTGTGGCTGAAAACTACAGACATTTATCCTCTCATATCTCTGGAAATTGAACTCTGACTTCAAGGTGTGTTGGCAGGGCAAGGTTTCCTCCAGAAGTTCTGTGGACAGTGCCTCTTCACTTCTTTCAGCTTCAGGTGGCTTCAGACATCCTTGGCTTGTAGACACATTACTCTAGTCTCTGCCTTCATCCTCATGAGGCCATCTCCCTTTGTCGTCTCACGGCCATCTTACAAAGACACCAGACAATGGATTTCAGGCCCACCCTACTGGAATATAACTTATCTTAACTTGATTACATCTACAAAGATCCTAATTTCCAAATACGTTCACATTAGTGGGTTCTAAGTGAACATGAATTTTGGAGGAATACTTTTTAACTAAGTACAGGGCTATAAACTCCCAACAAAATTAAATAGATATGTTCATTGTCTTGGCAAGGTCAGGCTGGCCACAGAGGGGCGGCTGTGATTATGTGACCCTCCCTGCCTTGCCAGGCTTGGAGTGAGCCAGTAGAAACACGGGTTCTGTCTAATGCAATGGTTTTTTATAATTGTCAGGAGGCATGTACACTCACTAGGAAGAAATAGAGAAAACACCTCCCAATGGGATATGATCATGTCACAATCCTTTCTCCATTTCTCCATTCCATCAGTCATGGGGGCATGCAGGTACACACACTCAGCGTATTTTTCAAGCTGTTGCAGTCAACATTCAAACCTCAGTTGGCCATGTGGGATCGGGCTCCCTTAACCAGTGGGCTATGGGGCCAGCCCAATGCAATGGCTTTTTAGTGTATGTGCTGCCGAAGCGAGCACTGCAATGGCTTTTTAATAGCACACAGAACAAGTGAAATGCTACAAATTCACTATATCTGAACTTTCTTGTTACACCCCACCACTGGAACTATATGATGTTTTATAAAATGAAGCTGCAGCATTCCTACTAAATTAGCTTTCGGGCTGAAAAAAAAGGAGGTAAAGGGCTATTGAGAGAGTACAGCAGGTTATTCCTGGTTTTCACTGGAACATCCTGGCTCATTCCTTGAAGGAAACTGTTACATTACACTCCCACACACTGCTGTGGAATCTTCAAGGTAAGTCTGCACAGCTTAGCCTAGGGTTCATGCTATTGGGTTGTTGGAAAAGTCATGACATACCAGTGGGCTATGGGGCCAGCCCAATGCAATGGCTTTT